TTTCGAAATTTCGAAAATTTTGACGATCACCTTCCGAACTGGGCGCAGTATCGAGGTTGGCAATTTCGCCCCTTACAACGCCTAACTCCGGACCGAGTTCAAATTAAGGTTCGACTTATGGAACCGAGTCGGACCGAACCGAACTTTTCTCATCCCTACTTTGAACAAGTATCATGTGCACGATGTTAATTGATCAACTATCATGTGATAAACCCGTACATTTCCAAAATTTGAGAAAGTCCCCCGCGTCTCGCAAATCGTTTTTTCTGAAAAATAATTGTTCACAAAGTTGATTTGCATCATGAGCAACGCCGTTGAACCCTACTCTGGTTATACTCGTGAGTGTAGATCGCAATTTAATAGAAAAATAGGTTTCTTCGTTTCTAACTTGCCATAACAAATTATTACAGAACTTATCTCTTACTTGAACGAGCACACAGAATGGTCCTACACTGAATTTTTAAATCTTCACCGCAGTGTTATTCTTTCCTCGCAACCTTTTTCGAACGATTGGACTGTTCTTAACCTCACTTGGACTCGTAGATTTCTGAATCAAGCAAAAATACTGAAATCAGACTATGAGGCTGTAGAAAAACAGGTCATGTATTATTCCCTCTTTGTAATAGGGAGCTCCTGTTTATTGTTGTCTGGACTAGGAGTATTGGCTGTCATTCCATCCCGAGTAATAGTGATGGTAGCTCCTGTTTATTGTCGCCTGGACTGGAGTATTGGCTGTCATTCCAACCTAACTATTGCGACTCGTATTTTGATCGCCTGAACTTATCCTGTTTGCTTGTAATATGGAAATGTCCAAATTAACGTTTTCTTATTTCCACTCAGGTAAAAAACCAAAGTGCAAACAAAAGTTTGAAGACCTACTGGAAAGAAATAATCTATGAACGGGAAAAGGTTTTGATACTACTATTCTTTTGTTATCTTTATTTACTATAATATAAATAATGATCAAACTTTTGCAAAATAGATGGAAGCAAAGCAAGCACATATCATTGGCAGTATGAAAGTGTACAGCAAAGTTGCAGAACATAATGCAGAAACATTAACCTCCGAAGACTATTCTAATATCTTTTCTTTGCAAAGTGGACACCAAAAAGTAAGGCAATTCTTGAAGCTCTAAGAAATAAGCCAAACTTATCCATATGCTTCTCTGTACTAGAACAAAGCAACGGGCAGAGAGGATGAAATAAACTTGTCTCGAAAGTAAGTTATATTATCATCAAATTCATCCGTTGTTATCTGTGATTAACATATCACACACTTGGTTCAAGTCAAGAAACAATCTCGGATGCCGAAAACAATCCGTTTTTGGTATCCGAATATGACGAGGACGAGGTATTATTTAGAATGTTTTTAGTTATTAAAGTTCCGACTATTTGTAGCAGTGATGTATCTAGGATTATACTAACGCTTTTTTCTGTGAACAGTTTACTGAATACTTATATAAACAAGAAGTGTTGACCGAAGGTATAGAATCTCCAACCACTCGTAAACGAGAGAATGAAATTGAAGGAAACATTTCACATAAAAAGGTAAAAATTATAGGTGGTAAAGTTAAGAGAACATAGGCTCATGTATTTTCTATATTTAGGCAAAAAAAAATGTGGAAAGTGCTCCAAACACGAGACCAAGAAATGATAGTCAAAAGTCTTCCTCTTCTGATGTAGATCTTGAAAATGAAGAAATAAAGTTTGATTTTACAGTCATTGAAAAAGAATTGCAACAGGAACCAACCAATGAGGTATGCCACGTCAAGATCTTTGTTCTTTTATTATTAATATCTCACAGTTTACTTCCGTTTTTTAGTGGATAGTTGGTTCCATCAACGTATCTCAAAGATTTAGACAATATCAGATGGATGTACTTGAGAAGGCGAAGACCAACAAATTAAAGTGGAGTGATTTTTATGAAATATTGTAAGTATTTTTGAATATGTAATAATACTGGATGATGTATTATTCTAATGACTTTGCGTGCCTGATAGGGCATTGTCTTCGATAATTGTATTCAGCTCGTCTTGCCCTTACCCTGCTTCGATTTTCACAAATCGGGAATGGCAAAATATTACACATGAAAATCCATATGTTGTAACTAATCCAGTACTACCAACGGAGGTTGTATCCTCTTTACGGAATGCATCTGCTGATTGTTTAGAAGGAAAGACCATTTTTTTGTCTGTATATGATTCTGAAATTAGTCAAGCCGTTTCTAGAATTTTCAATGACATGTAAGTCTTGATTCAGTAACTGTGAACCGAGATCAAATCTGCCTCTTATCTTTTTGTCATGTATAACAGGTGTAATAGCGTTCCTGCCGTTTCCCCAACCAAAACATCGGAGGACGAACATTGTTTCCAGTTGCTACACCCAGTCATCCGTCCGTTGTTTTTTACTGGTTCAAATAAAGAATATAAGATTCGATTGAATCGTGCAACAAAGGGTACAGTAATGAGGGCGGATTTTTCGTGTTTGGTCGACGAAATTCCTATTTTGAATTCAGAGATCAAACCACTTGGATTCACACCTCTCCAACAACAAAAAGACAAGTTGAAGGTACAGTTGCGAGGGCGCAAGTCCATCAATCAAATGTTAAAAATGAAAGGTGGTCCAGAAGAAGCAATATTGTTAATAAATCAAGGTATGTGTGCTCATAGTTAATAAAGCTTGATTTAATTATGTATATTAAACTATACCTTCAGGAGATTTGGTAGAATCATATGTTATGGATCTCAAATACGATGGGCTTTACCGGTCATGGCCTTTTTTAACTACCCGACTGGTCAAAGATAAAACCACCATTCCTTTGCTGGAGTCAAACATCCGGCACTTTGTGGCACTAGAGGTACACGCGCAATATATTTCATTTTTATGTTTACAATGAAATAGTTAACAACTTTCATTTATATTTTGTATTGGCAGGAACGAATCAGCAAAATTGCTGAAGACTACAATTGTCGGATTTCTCAAAGTGGCACAACTACTCCTCCATTACAAATGCGTTATATGCGAGACTTACCAAACAGTCCGCAAATAAAAGAGATGCTCAAGTAGATTTAACATTTTACTATTAACAAATTATATAGAACAAATCAACAGAGTTTGACAACAAAATAATACAAAAATACAAAAACTAATTCAAAAATAAAATTTTAACGATGAGTACATTAAATATGCAAGTTATATCTTGTTTATTGTGCCGTTCAGATATATCTGAAAAATAAATTTCACTCTTATTAGCATTTGATTGTTTTTTCATATAAATGCAGTTGATATCTAGGATATCTCGCATAATGGTTGTTTGCCTCGAAGTCAGCTAGTAGATCCGATGCATTGCTATCTATCCGAACTTTAGAGAAAAAAAGATAATTTTTTTTCTTAGCAAAAGTGATCAGTGTTCTGAAAAAGAATGCACTAGTAATTTTTTCGTGTATTATAATCAATAATTTTTCTGCTCGTAAAGATTTTCTTGGCATTTTTCTTTTCAGGCCAGAAGTAAATTTTTTTTTGGCATTTTTTGTGTGATAAGATTATTTGAATATATCTGTACCTTGTATAAAAAATGACCAACACCATATCTACTGATTTGTTAAAAGAATTAAGGGTAGAGGGTAATAAATTAAAATTATATATAAACTTAATGGTAAAATTTTTTTATATTTAATTTTATAAAAA